TTTTAAATTATTACTTTACTAATGCTCTATTAATGCTCTAACAATATGTTTAAATAATTGTAGATTATTAATAAAAAAAAAATTTTTTTTATATAAAGACAAAAAATTGAGCTTTTGTTCTATTGTTCTATTTGCCAACACTGATTTTTAGTTAACTCGGGCTAATTGTTAATAATTATTATTAATTATTAATAATGCGGCTGATGGACGTCGGAAAATAAAAAGTAACAAACGAAATATATACTTGTCACAAGTAATACTATAATTAAATATGATTTTTTGATAGACTCAACGTAGGTTAAAAAGGCTGTTATTACTGTATTATGAAAATTCGCTTTGTAATAAAACTAATTTAGAGAGGGAAATTGAGTAGGTATTTTTTGTTCTGGAGTAGGCGCAGCGTACATATATTTAAATTTCAACGCTCTCCGTATATATGTTGTAAGTGGAAGCGGAATTGGAATTAAGTGGAAACAGAATTTTTATATAAACCCAGCATTTTGGGGTTGATTTTATCATATATACACCCTTACCCTAACCCTAATTTAACTTGGAAATTCCGAATCAATTCCCACTTACAACATATATAAAGCGCGTATAAATTTCTTTTTTGTGCACATTTTTTTTGCGTTTGCGCCAATAAAAATTTTTCGAATTTATAACACTGCCAGGGACCCCGGACGTTGATAGCAAAAATAGCTAGTGAAATTAGCGAATTTAGCAAAATAGCTTATTATAAATTTATATTTATTAAGTATAAATTTTACGTAATGTAATCATATTTTTCTTCTGCGAGTTCTTTATCTATCATTTTAATGAGTTCTCCGGTAATCATCTAAAATATGCATACGTATAATTACTCATTTATGTAAATCACTCATTTATGTAAGAACAAAGGTAATAATCGTATGTTTAGTGCAAAAGTAACAAATTTCGCATCTCAACACAAGACTATTTTGCTAAAAAAATAGCGCTATTTTAGATGCTACAAAAATCGAGGACTCTACCCTGGACCCAGGGACGATGATTTTATGTGATTCACAGAAAACAGCAGAATTTCTCTTAATCACAGCCAACCACAGAAATCACCCTTAGTCACCGCAGAATATCAAAAAATGTGCAGAATATCACAGAATTCATAATATATCGTAAGATTTGACAAGCCGGCGTCGGGAAACCCCGTAAAGGTAGACAATAAATCAACGTAAATTACGAACTTGTCACCGGAATTATTTGGTTTGGAAAAATTTATAATCGCATTAAATCACAGAAATTATAATATAGTATACAGAATTGTAAAGAAATTATAAATGTTACCACAGAATTAAATAAAAATTTTATCACATTAAATCACAGAATTTGTCTTAACCACCACCGCAGAAAATCATCGTCCCTGCCTGGACCTCAACCATAGCCATACAGAACAAAAACAAACAATGAACACGATTTGTTCGTTGATTTGCTCATTAATAATGCTATAACACTGGTTACAAAAGTCCGTTGTTGGTACTATAGTGATGCATCTTGTTTGACTCGGATTATCTAACGAAATTAACGCACTCTGATCGGGTCACAAATTACCGGGTCAAAGTACATTAATTTCGTTGGGTCAAATGAGGTATATCATGACTCTTTTGCCTAAAACTTTACAAGGGCTAACTAATAGATAAAATGCATCTTTCAAATGAAAATTACAGCCTTTTTGATTAATTTCATCCGTTACTGCTCAATATTTTTTTTTTCATCAATTTTTTCTATTGTTAATATTGTTAAAGTTGTTACGGTGATTGTTGTATTACTATCGTGTCCTTTCATGTGCTCACGACTTGTTTGAATCTAGAAATTCAATCTTTTATACAGATTCTACAGATTACACGTACTTACCTGCCAATTTCTTATACATTTACGTGTCTTCATCTCGAGCTACTTACTATTTGCTTAGAGATTAAAAAGTGTTTATTGATTACCAAAATATTTGTTAATACGTACGTACTTTAATATCGATCATATCGATCTTGAAATATTACGTATCAAAACTAATCAAACTAATAAGGAAATGTTCAGATTTATTACGAATACATATTTATTATAGTATATATCAGGTATTATAATTTCACGAGTATGTAGTACTTATCGTTATAGTATGTTATAATGATTATAATGATACGTGAAATTTCGTGTGGCAATTATTTTCGTTTTCATTTAAACTAGTTTTAAACTCGTTACAAGGTGAACAAGCTTCTTTACTAGCTGGCTTAGCAAGATAATCGACTGGCTTAGTAGTGGCTTAGTAGGTTTAACTTCTGAAGAAAAGATCAATCCATTTATGTCTTTTACGTAGTGTAAAATTTAGACAAGAAATTATGAGAATTAGTAAATATACATCAGTGCCCTCAAAGGACATTGATAATGAACGTAATGAAGGTGCTTTAAGTGAGCATGGTGTAACTTCGGAACCTCTGTGGGTACAGGGGACGAATTCTCCACCAGAACATGAAGACTCCTATGAAACAATGGAAGAACATGAGATTATGCTTAGTAAAGAAAGAGGAGAAGACGATACCATAGTAGAAGTAAGTGAAAATTGGGATAAAGAAGACTATTCAAAGAATAATGTAAGTTTGTAATTTATGAATTTCTTCAATTACGTTCAATAAAGAAATGTCTATTTAATGGGTTTTTTCTGATCAACTATCATATCAACTATCATATCGAATATCATATCGATTTATAATTTTATAGAAAAATGAAAAATCGATTATTCCATGTCTGATTATTGCTACAGTTTTTATAATCGCGTGGGTTGGTTCAACAATCATATATGCATATTATCGTTCTGGGGATAGTACCCCAACAAATGGTTCTTTAAATAGTATACAATTTGATGATATATACAATGGAAGTTTTTATCCTAAATGGACATCATTGGTATGGAGCACTACTGGTACATTATTAATCTTTTATAGCTCTCTGAAAATTTTTCTTAGTATCAATTCAAAAAGTCAATTGTATTATTTTTTATTTAGATGATGATGGTGTATTCATTTATCAAGATAGTGATTATAATATTATTTTGGAACAAGTATCTGACGGATCGAAAAAAACTTTAGTGAAGGGCATAGATATTACCGATGTATGCTTGTACTTTTATAAATTTTTAATATTTATTTACTTTAATGCGTTTATTTATTTATTGTTTATTTTTTTTTATTTTTATCTTATTTTTTATTTTATTTTATTTTTTACTTTTTTTATTTTATTTTATTTTATTTTATTTTTTATCAGCCGTCTGGTAGCCCTCTCGATTATTTCGAGTTTTTCGTATCAGCGGATAATCAATATATATTGTTTGGAACTAATTTCACAAAGGTAAAAAATGTGTTTATTAATCGTGTATTGATTAATCGTGTTTAATTTTTGAGTATTATATATTAAACCTATTTTATGACTTTCTTGTATAGGGATGGAGACACTCATATACTGCAAATTATTATATTTTTAATATTTCTTCAAAAACTTCTTTTCCTCTCACAAAAGAAATTGACTCAAATCATCAAGCTGTAATTTCCTATGCTGAATGGAGTCCTGTTGGTCATGATATCGTAAGATAAATTTCAATCTCTAAAACTCTGGTTAGACTTTGTATTTCGAATATATAATTTATTCTTGAATGAATTCAAACGTACCAAAGGCATTCGTCAAGGATAATGATGTATATGTATCGTTAGGACTGACTGAGGAACGGCGAATAACATATGATGGATCTGACGTCGTTTTCAATGGTGTTCCGGATTGGATCTACGAAGGTATTAATAAACTTTAAGTATATCATACTATCAGACATTATTTCTAATACATCTGTTCCTACAGAGGAAGTTCTTGCCTCAAAATACGCATTATGGTGGTCTCCTGATGCAAAACGTATCGCTTATCTTCGCTTAAACGAAAGCGAAGTGCCTGAATACCGTTTTCCACTTTATGTTGATGGAATGCACGTTGAACCATATGTAAAAGAAGTTGTGATGAAATATCCGAAACCTGGTTATCCGAATCCCATTGTTACTTTTCATATATACGATACAACAACTCCTTTGATTTCCCAATCGGGTGCCGTTAATTTTATAAATGATTTTCCTAGTGACAATAAAATAATTACTGAAGTTTGTTGGGCTGGTAACGATAATGTATTGGTTAGAGTTATGAATCGTGTACAGGATATTGCGAGAGTTGTTCTAGTTAATCCAGTTACTCGAAATGGCACAACAGTTCGAGAGGAAAATGCCGATAAAATGGATGGTGGATGGTTTGAAATTGTATATATTGTTGGTCATTTTGCCTTTTCTTGTCATATCTTGTGCTAGACTTATACTCTCGATCCCTTTATTTAGACTAGAAGTTGGGTCTACCTCAAAAAAGGTGGTAGCATCAGACAAGATGCTTATATAGATGTAGTTGTCAATAATGGATACAATCATCTTGCAATTTTCTCTCCGTTAACTTCTAGTTCACCACGATACCTCACCAGTGGTAACTGGGAAGTTGTGGATGGTGTTCAGGCTGTAGATCGTAAACGAGAGCTTATGTACGTGTACACTTGCGTATCAAATATTTTAATTATTTTTTAATATCGGCAATTATAACTATTTTGTGATATTTCTAGATATTTCTTGAGTACCGAAAAATCATCAATGGAAAGACATTTGTATTCAGTTAGTTTTGACGGAAAAACTAGAACTGCTTTGACCCCAACCGACGAGACTGCCTATTATTCTGTAATATTTTCTCCAGGTGCTGAATATTATAATCTAAAATACGAAGGCCCTGATGTTCCTTGGCAAAAAGTATTAAAAGTTAGCAATAGCTGTAAGTATTACGTTTACAAAGATTGGCTACACTCAAAATTTTATATTAAAAACCTTATAAATTGCTAAATCACAGTTTTATTTTAGCATTTGAAATCGTCTTGCAAGACAATAACTATCTTAATGAATTACTTAAAACTTTTGATTTACCCACAATAAACCGTTTTACAGTGGAAAGTGAAGGAAATCGTAAATATTCGGTTTTAAATACATTCTCATTTGATCATTTACATATCCAATATCTAATTTCCTATCTAATCATAGAACTCAACGTAATGGAGATCCGACCACCAGGAATGGATTTAACTGGCCGTGAAAAACATCCTGTTCTTTTTCATGTATACGAAGGTCCAACTTCTCAATATGTTAATACAAAGTTTAATCTTGATTGGCATTCGTTTTTAGCGTCTTCACCACGCTTAAAATATGTTGTTGTGTTGGTTGATACTAGAGGAACTGGATTCAAGGGTCGTGCTTTTCGTTGTAGTGTAAGAAAACATTTGGGAGAATTCGAATCAACAGATATAATTAATTCAGCAAAATATTTTGCTAGTTTACCGTACGTTGATTCTAGTAAAATGGCCATTTGGGGATGGTCATTTGGAGGTTTTATAACTTCTAAAGTTATCGAGACGGATTCTGGGGTGTTTCAAGTAGGAATGGCTGTGGCACCAGTCACTGACTGGAGGTAAGTTATCAATTTTGAATTCCGCTACAAATGTATGTTATCTCAAAATCTTTCTTTTTTTTTTTTTTTTAGGTTCTATGATTCGATTTACACGGAACGCTACATGAAAACTCCTGCATTAAACCCACGAGGTTATCAACATAGTGCTATAACCAACATGTCCGGGTTCGATCATGCCAAATTCTTAGTAGTGCACGGAACTGGTGATGGTAAATATATATATATATATTTTTTTTTTTTTATCATGATTTGACTCATTTATTTACAATTTATCAATTTAATATAATAACTCTATTTCGTGTTGATATTTTTGTAATTAAGATAATGGTAAGGAGGATTCGTTCAATGACTTGTTTTGTTATAACAAGAATATCATTTTTTTAATAAATATATATTTTTAAATATATTTAGTTCACTTTCAAAATACAGCAAACTTGGTAGATAGACTTACTTTAGCATCTGTCCATAATTACCGTGTGCAATTTTATACCGACAGCGATCACTCAATAACCAAACACAACGCAAACCGAGAGGTATTCTTCGTTCAACATTCTTGTGATTAAGAGAGAATGACACTTCTTTTCTGACCATAACCTATTTTTTTTTTCAGCTCTATTATTTACTGACTGAGTATCTCTGGCAAAGTTTTGGGCCTTCTGACACTTTATTTAACATATAATTTGCAAAAATAGAAAAAAAATTTTTTGGTGTGCATTTCTTATTTTCATCGCATAACAATTACATTTTCCTTACGATTAAACTGAGTTTAATGTATAATATGTTCATTTATTGAAACATTCTAAGGTCAAATGTTAATTGACTTGTACAAAATAATGGAGTAATTAGATGATCGTCATATGTTGGGATTAGCACAATATTGGCGTTTCTAGAGAGTATTATTATTGGCTAACTTTTTTGTTACATAAGAGACAAGATATAAGTACTCTTTATAATTACTCCTTATTGTACTAGGTTTTGTTATTGAAAAAAAAAAACTATTTTAATTCTTATTTTATACAGAAAAAAATAAAGTCATTTCAAATCTTTTGTTAATGGATTGGATTTACCCATCCTACCGGTAGTACACTATACATTTTAACTTGACTTTTCTACTTATCAATAAAAGCTAGTGCGCTTAAATTTAATAGGCTACATACTTTGTCAGAGGCTTTTTTATAGGTTTGCCAGAGTCATATTTGGGTTAAAGTTAAAGCAAAGATTTAGGGTCATGTGAATGAGTAAAGTGTAAATGGTTTCATTCTGATTGGCTAATTTTTGTAGATCATTTCGCGACTTTACAAAATCTTATTGGCTAATTTTTGTAGATCATTTCGCGACTTTACAAAATCTGATTGGCTAATAGAAAACGAGTTCAAAGTAAAAAAAATGTTATGTATAAGTTATTAAAAAAGACATTTTTAAAATTTTAGGATTTTGTTAACCAAAACCGGTGGTGTTCATCACCGGGGTGCTATACCTCAAAAACCTACTAGCTAATTCACGTCAGGAGTATTAAACAAAAATGTTCAGAAACCTAACGCTAACTCTAACTAGAATTTGAACCTTTATATCTGACCCGTCTTACTCTAAAATCGCACCCTAACCAGTGTATGAAATTCAATTTTTAATTTAGTTGCGGCCGCAACTAAATAAAAAACTTTACTTGCAGATTATATGGATTTAGTTGCATATATGAACGTATTTATATGCAAATTCGAATATATCTATATGCAAATTCACTAAATTTA